AATATCCTGTAAATATCTTTGTATATATACAATAAAGACACGCCATGCTAACCTGACTGCAGGTTAAAAAAAAAAAAGAAAAAGAAAAAGAAGATCATAGTCATATAATGTTTATTATTTATATAACAAGACCTATATGGCTTATAATGGATCTAAGGTTATTATAGAGTTTAGAAAAGGTATTTATATTATGTATTATATATATTCTTGTCTATATTTCTGTTAATTATAAAACAACCAATTCATATTTTTAGCCAATTAATCTATCTAAAATTTGATATAATAAAAAATTAAAGATCAAGTTAAAGTAGCCAAAATTCCTCAAAAAATAAAAAAAAAACTATTATATATTAAGAGAGAAATCATTTTTATTTGCAATAGTAATATAAGTTTCTTAGGTCAGCTTAAACTTATTGATTGATATATTTTTTTAAACTTTGAAATCTCTATGGAGAAGAGAAGAAAGTATTTTTTTATCTGATTTTTTTTTACTAGAAAAGTTTTTATATCATTAATTTTTTAAATAAAAAGTTTTTGAAAAGGAAAAGAAAACAAAAAAAGTAGAATATGATTACTACTAATTGAAAATAATATTTTTAAAAAACATTTTGAAGTTTTATTACTCTCAAAATAAAAAGTTTTGAAGAAACAATTTTTTTGAAAGTAATGATCAAGAATCTCAAAAAAAGTTTTTTTAAATTATATAATATATTATTTAAACTAAAAATAATAAAATTTTTATTGATTCTTTCAAATATATTAGTTTTTATTAAAAGTAAAAAAATGTATTATTTTGAAAATATGATAGATTGAATTAATCTAAATATAGTATTATTATAAAAGTTTCTTATATATATTAATAAAAAATTTGGTTATTGATAAATTACATCATATATATCTATTAATCAAAAATGAAGAAGAAGAAAATATTAAAGAATAGAAATTATAATTTTATCTAAGAATAATTTTTACTTTAATATACTATTAAATTATAATTACATAAATTTAAATCTACAAATTTAATTTATTTTTTTATTATATTAATTTTGTCCTATAAAAAACAACAAAATAGGTTACTTGAAAATATTATTGCAAAGAAGAATTTCTATATATACTCATTTCGATTTATTTATGATTTCTTACTATTTATAGATGCAAAAGTAAATTTTGGTTCGAGTTAAGCTTAATTTAGGCTAATGTACAAATGTAAAACGTTATTTTAAATTTTGACTCAAATTAAGTCGAGTCGAAACAAATCATCACTGGCATTATATAAAATAAAGTTACAGTATTTCTAAATTTGACCCGAATTTAGTTTGATTCGAGCCAGAGTTTAAATAATACGCTGAAACGTTATTTAGTATATGAAGGCACATGGATAGGGTGCAATACAGACGGGCACTTTTTATCCAATGCTATGCTCTGGACTAATAAATCAAAACTATAAAATCTACTGCGTGGTTAATAAAAAAATCGGAATGAATATGTAAACGAAATTATCAAGTACATTTATTTGATAGATGTATTTGGTTAGCATAAAAGACGACGCCAATTATGGTGTGGATTTAGCCGCTGTTCCGACTTGCAGGACTTCCTGAATATGTAATTCTTAGGAATCCATTATTTTTGACTTGTATCCATCACTTTCAGCTAACCGACAAAGTAAATAACCCGAGGAATAAAGGAATAGGCAAAGTACCATCTGTTCTTTTGTCTCTTCATTATTTTCTATTAAATGTCAGGATACAATGCAATGAATATTGATCTCGGTTTTTTCATGCAAATATATAAACCTTTATTTGTTGTTACGCCATGTTCGAGAACCAGCAGTGTTTCACTGTGATGCGAATAAACCTTTTAAATTCATCATTATAGAATAAATCAGATCATCGATATCTTTCAACTTTTTTTAAGAGTAATAGACCCTTGGGTCGACCAAATTTATTTTCATGATATTCATCACCATGTGAATTTAATCGAAGAGTGACTGATGAAAATTTTGAAAATTGATATATACCGGTACAGGATACATTAATAACAGCCGTCTTCGTATGTACGCTTGCAAAACTATCAAACAATTTTATATAGAAAAACAAAGGAGGCAATAATGGATAATCTTTACAGGTTAACAGGTCTCATTAATTCCATTCGTAAACCACCTTCGTATGAAAAAGACGACAGTATGTATGATGGGGTTCTCACTATCCCCCATGAAAACATGGGAATCGGAGAACCCCTCGATAATATTATGTTTCTGGCGAGACTTCTTGGTTTGGGAAAGAATCAGCCGTTGGACGACTCGAAACTCCAAGTAAATCATCAATCTTTATATTCCATATCGTAAACGATATTCTGTAACCTCTCCCTTTATTATAGTTGGAGATGCTTGTGCAGATTATGACAAAGCTTCCACCTGACAGCAGACTTTTGTTGGAATTAGAGAAACTCTTTGTTTCACTTTTATGGTCCGATATTTCTAAACCGCCGACCATGTTGGCCAACGATTACTATCGTTCTGCTGACGGTTCCAATTACTCACGCCTGTATCCTTGGCTAGGGAAATCTTTTTCGCATTATTCAAGATCCATCCGCATCGAAAGGCCGTTGCCTTTAAATTTACCTGACTCTGGCATGCTTTTCGACACTCGGATGCTCCGAAAAGAGTTCAAACCACATCCATCCTCGATTAGTGCAATGCTGTTTTATTTAGCAATCATTATTACCCATGATTTATTTGATTCTTCCAAAAAAGATCCATCAATCAATAAGGTTTCATCCTATTTGGATCTGTCCCCGCTTTATGGTCGAAATGTGGAAGAACAAATGAGTGTTAGACAGGGGCGACTTGGTCTTTTAAAACCTGATACATTCTTTGACCAAAGAATAATCTTGCAGCCTCCCGGTGTTTGCAGTTTTTTGATTTTATTTTCGCGCAATCATAACTACATCGCAAAGCGTCTCTTGCAAATTAACGAACGTGAAAGATTCAGTGTCAAAAATCCCAATGACAAAGAGGAATTGAAAGTTCAAGATGAAAATTTATTCCAGACCGCAAGACTTATCAACTGTGGTTTT